TGGCTCTGCCTCTAGATAGGCGGAGCCAGCTGTCACTCACGCAGCTGGGCGGATCCAGACATAATTGTTGGGATCCGCTTCAGCTGCGGCGTCTCAGTATACCGCGAGCTGTATCTCCCTATATCCTGAGCTTAGGGTGACGGGAGGAAGCTAGTTTGTGTCCTCCTGTTACCCTAAGGAGAACTATGGGGAAAAGCCCTAACACCATAGTTCTCCTTTAAGTCTAGGCCCTGGAAACCGCGACCTAACTTCTACTCTCAACAATTTGTTACCAGTTGTACAGTAAGGTGCACACGAGACAAGTTGTTTTACATGCTAGTTTGTGAGTGTGCCATGATGCCTTTCTACTAACTTCTACTCTAACGCCTAAACTGAAACTGACATCCAGGCACCCAACACTAACCTAATATTACCCCCACACTAAGCCCCAACAGTAAACGGACAGCATACGTCACGCACTCACCTCATGAGCACTGAAACTTTCCCTGAAAGATGTTGGCATGTAATGTGGACCAGAGTTGAGATTTGCTCTGATATTGGGACCATTGGGAAATATTCATTGTGTGTAAGCGGTATCCTGAACATGGAAGTTTTGCCCTAAATTCGTCCTGAACATGTGAGTGAGCCTAGGCACTCCTGTGACTCCCCTTCTGCACTGGCAAAGAGCAGGGAGGAGGAGTGAGGAGAAAGAGGTGACATTTAGAAATGGTGGTAAGAGACGGGTCTCCCCGGTGCTGTGGCCACCTCTGATATCATGGAGTGTCTCAACAATAACCTGCAATTGACCTTCATTCTCTACGTGGACACAGGGGGTGTGATGGCACCCATTGCCGTTCTCCTTATTTCTCTCTACCATTCAATCCTTTTGGAAAGTAACATTTTTATGTTGATTTTCTCATATTATGTTAGGTTCTGCACTGGCAAAGAGCAGGGAGGAGAAGGAATGAGGAGAAAGAGGAGATCATTTAGTAATGGTGGCAAGAGACGGGTCTCCCCAGTGCTGTGGCCACCTCTGATATTATGGATTGTCCTAACAATAACCTGCAGTTGCCCTTCATTCTCTACAGTGGACACAGGGGGTGTGATGGCACCCATCGCCGTTCCCTTTATTTTTCTCTACCATTCAATCCTATTGGAAAGTAAAATTTTTATGTTGATTTTCTCATATTATGTTAGGTTCTGCACTGGCAAAGAGCAGGGAGGAGAAGGAATGAGGAGAAAGAGGAGATCATTTAGTAATGGTGGCAAGAGACGGGTCTCCCCAGTGCTGTGGCCACCTCTGATATTATGGATTGTCCTAACAATAACCTGCAGTTGCCCTTCATTCTCTACAGTGGACACAGGGGGTGTGATGGCACCCATCGCCGTTCCCTTTATTTTTCTCTACCATTCAATCCTATTGTAAAGTAACATTTTTATGTTGATTTTCCATGTTTAATCTCGTGTATAAAAGTCCTTCTGGAAAATAGCAGAGCACATCTTGGTATTCGAGGGAGCCTAGGCACTCCTTTGGCTCACCTTAGGTTCTGCACTGGCAAAGAGCAGGGAGGAGGAGGAGTGAGGAGAAAGAGGTGACCATTTGGGAATGGTGGTAAGAGACGGGTCTCCCCAGTGCTGGGGCCACCTCCTGATATTATGGATTGTCCTAACAATAACCTGCAGTTGACCTTCATTCTCTACAGTGGATAAAGGGGGTGTGATGGCACCCATTGCCGTTCCCTATATTTTTCTATACCATTCAATCTTATTACAAAGTAACATTTTTATGTTGATTTTCTTTTTTCAAGTTGCTTTTCCATGTTTTATCTCGCGTACAAAATTGTTTAAGGGGAAGTAAGTGGATGGAATTTTAAAGAGGAAACGCAGACAATGAGGAAGACCAGTCAGCAAAGTTCGAGTGCTTTTCAGGAAACAATGCAGTCTTCTAAATTCACCTCAATTCTGCGCAGTACACCCCCCCCCCAGCTACATTCAGTAGGCTTTCCACACTGCCTTAGGGAGTGACTGAGTTATTTTCTGACATGATTCCGAGCTGTGCAGCTGGCCACTCCGGGAAGTACAGAGGGTAGAATTTGGAGCCCGGGACCACGACAATTACATTTTCCGCAGACTATTCATAAAATCTTGGTAACAAAACGGATTTCTTTGCTGGGACAGCCGGCCGGGTGCATCAAATCAAAGCCAGATTGGCACTACTTAGCAGGTGGCATACTTGAGGAGCATACTTTTAAAGATGGCTGCCATTTGGCAATTTGTTACCTTGCCGGGCCTTGTAGGATGATCATTAGCTGCGTTTTATAACCCCAGTAGAAGCGGGTGCTTGAAAATCCCTGAAACGCATTGTAACAATACATTTACGAATAGAAATCTGGGTTCCTCCAAACCAGAAACGTTCTGAGTGTTCTTAAAGGAGAACTATGGGGAATAGACTTCACCCCATAGTTCTCCTTTAAGGCGCTGCGCACCCACCAACAGCAAGATTGGCATTGATCAGCTCACCTAATCACCTGGACTGACCCAGCAGATGTACTAACAAGAACAACAGGCAGGGAGATGTCTGCAAGCCTTAAGGGCTTGTTCACACGATGTCCGGATTCTGTCCGGACCAGAACCGTGCGCTCCTGCACCCAAAATGCATCCCAAAGTCTCCCTATGTGTTTTATGGGCTCCAGTTGTCACCAGCGCAGTCCGTTCCGGACAGAAAAAAATACTGCACGTCACATTTTCTCCGGTCCGGAGACGGACCGTAAAACGCATCAAAAATGCAACATACTGACAGCCCCACTCCGGTAAAAACGCGTCAGAAACGCACTGCACGGGTAGCACCGCGTCTGCAGATCTGCTCCAGAAAATAGTGTGAACAAGCCCTAGCACTCTCCTCCCTTTTGCTCCGTAGTACAAGGCTTTAAAAAGTAAATATCGGAGGCTCTCTGACCAGCTAGAATAACTACAAAGAGGAAGTGACATTTTTACTATTTATACTCTTTTTATTGGTGTTTATACAAAGGAAACAAATCGCATCCAAAACAAACTTCAGTTCGGTGCCAGAATCCTAAAGCCTGACCAATCAGGAGTCTTGTTTTATGGCCCAAAGTTCCCAAATACGATGAATCATTTCATGTGGCGTGATGGCCTCGCCGTGCAACCTGTGGAGCTTTCCTATAAACATTCGGACCTCTCGGTGACCA